GTCCCGACTCGGGCCCGGGAGCGCCCCGGGAACTGCTGTTAAGGGGGCAATGCGCTCGGATTGTGGGGCCCACCGGGCGCGGACGGGGAACCGAGCTGCGGGCGCAGAAAGGCGCGCAGGACGCTGGCTGGCGGGAGGGGTACGGCGCCAGAGGAACCCGGCAGGGCGCGGGGGGGTGGAGGGTGACTGGAGGGTTGGGGGGGCAGGGGGGCGGGCCCTGGAGGGGACCCAGGCCCCGGACCCGCGCACGTCGCCGCCGTCGGAGGCGCGCCCAGGGGCGGAGCCGCCCGTCGCGCCCCGCCCAGGGTTGGCCCCGCCCCGGCCCCGCCCCCGGGTGCGCGGCGCGCCGGCTCCGCCGCTGCGCTCCCGTCAGCGCCTCTCTCCTCGGCGCCGGGCCTGGCGTTCTAGAACCCGCCGCGCCGCCGCCTCAGGTGCGGGGGCCCGGCGCGGGCGGCGGCGCTGTCCGCTCCCGTCCGCTCCCCTGCCCGGCCCGCAGGTGGCGCAAGCCCGGCAGGAGCCTGGGTGCCGTCTCGGGCCCGGCCTCCCCCCGACACACAGGCCGGGCCTCCGCCTCGCCGGGTTCCGCCCTCAGACCGCCGCTCCCCCAGGCCCGGCCCGGCCCGGCGCACCTGCCCAGGACCCCCGCCCCGCGCTGGCACGCTCAGGTGGCCCCCGCAAGGCCTGGGCCACCTCCCGGGCCGCTGTTGAGTGCCGTCCGCTTCCTTCAGCTGCACCCCGCCCCGGAGAGCAGGGGGGGGTGGTGCGCCCGCTTAGACCCCCTGAGCTCGGCCTACCCGCCTCGGGCCCGGGGCACCCCGCTCAGACCCCTCCCCTGGCGTCCTCGCTTGCTCTCTGTGCCCGGCCGCCCCTGAGTCTGGCCCTGTGTCTGCTCACCGTTACCTGCACGCAGTCCCGACCGACCCCTCCTTCCCTCCCTCCTCGGAGCCAGGGGACCCCTCTGCCCTGCCCCCATGTGACTTTCGTGAGCCCTCACACCTGATAATTTACCAACCCTCAGTTGTCTGCCCCCAACCAACGATTCTGTACCAACGACCCCCAAACCCCTCCGCCCTACCAGTCTCCGCCTGCCTGTCCTTCCATCATCCCAAGTTACCATCTGTAGGTCTCGCTTACTCTGCACGTTTGGCTCCAGAAAATTAATTTCCTGATTTATCTTTAACGTCCACATTCCCTATGCTCGCTGCCTTTAAACTGTGTGTATGTTCAGCTCCTAAACATGCCCAGCACTAGAAATACCCCTGAAGCTCTCCTTCCTTTTTCGTGAACCACAAACCCTCTTCCCAATCTCTAGATCTTCGGCTGGTCTCGTCCCTACAGCCGTGACCTGAGTGAATGATTCATTTTCCATTATCCTCCCAGCACCAATGAGGAGACTCGGTCCAGCCACCCAGCCCAGTCCAGTCGTGCAGGAAAATGGAGACAACCTCATCCCCTTTGCCAAGTGAGTCCTCCCCACCCAGTGGGGATGGGATGGAGGGAAGATTGCACGCCTGGCTTCTTCCCCGACAGGAGTAGCAAATAAGGAACAAGAAGCTCAGTGCCTGGTCTCAGAGGACCAGTGATTCATTAATTTGTTCCACAAATAGTTTTTGTCTAAAACTACAACGTTCTGGACATGATATTGGGCACCAAGGATTCAACAATTAGAAAGATAAGGGCTAAAGATAAACAGAACTTATTTTCTGGAGGGAGGAGACAGAATGTCCGAACGTAAATATAATTTCAGTTAGAAGTATCATAAAAAAATAAAAGGAGCGTAATATAATGCAAAGTAGAATGTTCTGGAGACACAAGTTTGGATAGGGTGATTGTGGAAGACCATTCTGGGGAGGTGAGTTTGAATTGAGATCTGAAAGATTGAGAAGCAGCCAGTCTGATAACAGCCCGGGTTGGGGTGGGGGGGGTGAGGGGAGAAGAAGGAATAGTGGGGGGGTGGTAAGCCCCAAGAAAGAAATAAGCCCAGTATCTTGTAGGACCAGGAAGCAGGCCAGTGAACCTGAAACTTCACGATCAAGGGAAACGTAGAGAGTAAAGTCGGACAGTCAGGCAGAAGCCAGCTCGTACGGGACCTTACAAGCCATTGAAAAGGGTTTGGATTTTATCCTCAGGGCAGTGGGAATCAGTGGAAGGTTTTCAGCAGGGAAATGGCATGAGCAGACTTTTTTCTTTCTCCCCAATTTCTTTATTGTGAAAAATGTCAAACAAATACCGAAGTAGAGAAAATACCCATCATGAAGCCAGTGTGCCCTTGCCGGCATCTTCAAAAATTATCATTCCAGGGACGATCATTTCATCTGTGCGACCGTCCAGCCTCCGCCGCCTCAGATTATTTTGAAGTAAATCTCAATCTGTCTGTCACTTTACACAACCATGTTTAAATGGTAACTCACACTGCCCCGGGCAGAAGAGAAGACTGGGGGGTTAGGATGGAAGCAAGGAGAGCAGGAGGAACCCACTGCAATAGTCTGGGCCGCGGTAGATGAGCCGAACAGTGGCGGTGGAAGTGGAAAGGGTGAGGAGTGGTCAAATCGGGTGTATTTTATTTTATTTTTTATTTTTAAAATTTAAGTGAAACTTTTTTTAAAAATCAAAAAAAAAAATTTTTTTAATGCAAGTAGCTCCACACTGCCCAACGTGGGGCTTGAACTCACAACCCTGAGATCAAGGGTGGCATGCTCTACCTACTGAGCCAGCCAAGTGCCCCCCGCCTTTTTTTAGTTTAAGCGAAACTTTATTTTTTAATTTTTTCATTTTAAGTAAAACCTGGGTATATTTTCAATGTAGCGCTGACACGACTTGCTGATAGACTGGATAGGGGAGTTGAGGGAAAGTGAGGCATACCAGGTTTGTGGGTTCTAGCAACTGGGCATTTGGGGTGCCTTCCCGTGAGGTGGGGAAGGCTGGGGAGGAGATGTGGACTCCATGTGTGGAGTCCAGGGGAGGATAGGGATTTGGGAGTCCTTAGCACATTGGTAGTATTTAAAGTCATGGGCCTGGGTGAGATCCCATAAGGAGAGGTGGAGATGAGAAGAGAGAGAATCCAGGCCAACCCCTAGGACATTCCCCTGGAGAGCAGGAGGCCAGTCTGCATGTAGTCTGGGGACTTTGGAAGTGCTGGGCCCTGTTCTCAAACCCCTCTGCACACCCCTTGCTACTTAGAAGGATAGCAGTTTATCTGAGTTAGGGGAGACAAAGCAGGAGTGAACAGAGGTTCTGCTCCACTGGGCCCTTGCACTGACCAGCCGGAACCTGCCTGTCACATCAGCAGAGCCGCTGGGGCCTTCCTCTGTAACAGCTGAATGCGGTGTTCTCTGGTTGCCGGGCACAGACGTTTGAGATCTGGCCTGAGATCCGAGGCTCAAACAACTGCAGCCTCCAGTCTTGCAAATCAGAGATCTCACTACCTCCTCAGCTGAAACGGCTACGAGAGCACGTGGCCGGAGGGTCCCACGGAAAGACGGGCCCCCTGAATCCCTGGAGCGAGCGGATGCTGCGAGGGGTGAGCCAGCCCCAAGCCTCCCTTGTCCTCTTAGGTGTTCCAGGGTGGTCTGCCGCTCGGCACCCCCTGGCTTGGCTTCCCAGAGCCTCGGACTGCCCCAGCGATCCGGAGGCCTCTTCTGGAAGAACCTTAGCCAAAGGCCCAGGTGGGTAGACACAGAGAAAAGGAGAGGGAAGTAAGACTGTGGAGTTTTGCACTAAGCCTTACAACAATAAGCCCTCGTCTGGGGACCCCTGGTCGATGGACACCGTAGCTCCTCCTGCCAGACGGACAGGTGTTTGGAAGAGGCGGCCCAAGAAACAATACAGGTGAGGGTGTCCTCTGCACATAGCTCTCCTTTTGTGCTTTACAGCCCCACCTGGACGGAAGAACAGTACACCCCACCCCTGCTGGTATGACGAACGTCGTGCCCTTCCGCACTCCTTGGTTAAAATCATACCCACTGCTATCCTATCCTCAGCTAAACTTACCACCTCTTCCCTCTGCTGTCCACCAGCACGGACCACACCCTCCTTTCTTTGCATCAGTCACCCTGTTTCCATGATCTGGGCTTCCCAAGACCCCTGACTCCCTGTTTTAGTCCAAGCCCTCCCCTGAGAGGCCCAGTTCTGCCCTCTGGCCCCTTTCCCTGCATTCTCGGGCACAGAGAGCCACTGGATGCTCCCAGCCTGGCCTGTACACCCCGGAGGGGCTCCCACCACCAGAGGTGCTTTGCAGAAGAAAGAGAAGGAGACCACTTTCGGCAGGAATGCAGCAGGGACCTGCGGGCATCCCAGCCCGGGTGAAGGCAGTCACTTATCACCTGGAGGATCTAAGGAGGCGACAGAGACTCATCAATGAGTAAGGAGAGAGACATCTGGGCTCTGGGAGCCAAGCAGGGTTTGGGGGCAGGAGGGTTTGAACTAAGGAAGGGGTTGAGAGCTCTGAAGGAATTAGAGGCTGTACGGAGATGGGAACTGGGGGTGGAGGATGAACCACAGGAGCTGCAAGGAGTGGAAACAGGGTCACCGAGGACAGGAAAGCCGTCCACAGAACTGGAGGGTCGTGGGTAGCCACGGGTCACCTCTGAGTCCCTGGACTGAGGGTGCTCCAGTCTGCAGGGAGCAGGAAGCTGGGGACAGACGGTTGGAAGTCCAGTGATAACACCCCTGGGTCCCAGCAGGAAGTATTTCAGGGCAGAGAGGTGAAGAGCGGAGAGACAGGAAGCCTGGCCTCCAGGCCCCGCGTTCCTAAGCCTCATGTCACCACAGACAGAAGAAGGCCCAGTGGGGCAGCTCTGGGGCTGCATCTGAGCCCCTGGCACTAGCTGATGACCACCATGGAGTCCCCAGTGCCACCGCATACCGGGGTCTGGAAGAGGACAGGGCTGCCTATCCACAGGAAGACGGCCACCCTCTCACGGCTGGCCGGCCCCAGGTCTGCTGGGGGAACCTGGTGGGGTGGAGGAGGGTGCGGGGGCTGCCTGGTCTTGCGAGGAGGGACAGCAGGAGGCCGGAGCCCCAGGCCGGGTGGCACGCCTGGAGAGAAACAAAACACAGAGAGGCTGGAGGGTGCCTGGGCTTGGGGGCTAGGAAACCCGGAGAGACCGCCCTTCCCGTTCTCATCCTTACAGCTGCTCTGGTCTCCCTGGAGCCCCCTGGGCCACGGGGGGTCTTGCCTCCCCAGGCGGCTGGGCTCCCTGGCCTCCTTCAGCGCTGTCACAGCCAGCAGGAAGCTCCTCTGCGAGCCCTGGGGGATGGAGGTGCAGTCTGAGGAGTGAGGACGGACCCCATGCCCCCGATGCCGCCCGCTGCCCCCGCCCCGAGGGCCCCAGGCTGGTTGGCGGCCCTGGAGCCTCCCCGACTTGTGACAGCGAGGCGTGTCCCCCTCCTCAGCCTCTCCCAGCTGCCCCCACCCCCCAGCACTGGGCGCTAACAGCCTGCTTGGCCTCCCTGGTCAACCCGCTCCTCGCGGGGCTCCCCGGGGCTGGCTGCCCACCGGCCCCCCGCCCCGCCAGGCCCGATCCCCGGCCGTCCCCGGCCTCTGTTCTGACATTAAAAAGCAAGCAAGTCGAGCCCAGAGTGTCTTTCTGCCCGGAGCGCAGTGATGGGGAGGCTCGTGGGGAGGGAGGGCGCCGTCCCCTCCTGCAGGACCAGCTGAAGTGAAGTCGGGCTGGGTCCCGCCGGACCCCGGAAGCCTGCCCCCGGCCCGCCCCGCGGCCGCCGCCCCGGGCTGCCCGGCCGCCCCCGATCCCCTTAACAGGGAGGCCCCGCCCCGTGCGCAGTGACGTCGGACGCCGCTGTCAGCGGGCGCCGGGGGGGGGGTCGGTGTGGGGTAGAATGGCCGCTGCCGCCGTCACCCGCGGGACCCCGGGAGGTAAGAGCCGGGGCCTCTCGCCCGCCTCTCCGCCCCCGCGCCAGGGGGCGCCGCTACGGGGCCGGGCCGCGGGCGCGCTGCGCGGGGACCCCCGCCCCTCCTCCCGGCTCGCCCCCAAGCCGGCTCCCGTCCTCCTCCCCCGCGCCAGGGGGCGCCGCAACGCGCCGGGCCCCGCGGCTGACCTGCGGCGCCGGCACCGCCGGGGGACCCCGCGCCCCGGCCCCGGCCCGGCCCTCGCCGCCGTGCGCCCGCGGGCTCTGCCCCGCGTCGTCTCCGGAGCGCCCCAGCGTGCGGGCGGGCGGCGGACCCTCCCACGTCGGGGCTTCTCCGGGGACCCCCGCCCGGGGCCGCTCGTCACCCTGGCAGGCTGCCGGGCCGGGACTGCGCACCTGCGCCCTAGGGCGGAGTCCTTACCCCGACCAGCTGCCCTGCACACAGCTCGCGCGGACGGGCCTCCTCCCCTCTCCACCCCGGACACCTGGCGGAGCCCGCCGCCCGGAGCCCGCGCTGAGAGCATCCTCCAGCTTCCATCTGTTCCCTCGGGAGGGTGGGGGCTCAGGCTGGAGCCAGAGTGGTAGATGGGGTACGGTGGGCCTGGAGGCCCCGGGAAGCGGAGGCATTTGGGGAGAGCGCTGGTGGAGGAGGGGTGGGGAGGGCCGGGAGCCTCAGAGTGGAGGATGGGTCGTCCTGGGGGTGGGAAGCCGAGGCCTGGGTACCTGGCCCAGATCCGACCTGGAGAGGAGGGAGGAGGTTACGATCAGTCGTCAGATATGCCCTTCCCCTTGCAAATATCAAATCGAGAAGGAACCCAGGGTGTGTCTTGTAAGGCCCAGCTCTCCAGCGGACTTAGATCTCCAGCTCTACCCCCAGCATCTAGGCTCCCATTTGCCGAACGGTCCTCCAAGGACCAGGTCCCCGAAGTGCCAGCCCCCAGGCCCTGACCCCACCGTAGCCCCAGCTTCCACAGAGAGCCCCTGCTGTAGGGCCTGGGAAACGCCAGCCCTGCCAGCCTCCCCCTCCCCCGCCCACTCTCTCTTCCTGATGACTCTGTCGGTGGTGTCTCCCCACCCGTGCTGGTTCCTGGCACCGGGTCTGGATTCTCCCTCTCCTCCATGCCCAGCTCTACTCAAATCTCAGTGTGGCCCCCTCCCCCTGCCTCCTCATCTTTCCCGGCTACCAGGACGCAGTTCCACACCCCTCTCCCAGCTCCTCCTCCTCATCCTGGGTCAATGTGGGGGGGCTTCTGCCATGACCTTGTTCTCTCCCTTCCCAGCACAGACTCCCCCTCCCCCCGGCCCCTCAGGCCGGGGGTGACCTTGCCCCCTGGAGCCCTCACCATGAATACCAAGGACACCACCGAGGTTGCCGGTGAGTTCACAGCCCAGGTTGCCAGCCCTTCTTTCTCCCGGCTGTGGTGACCCTCGAGTTCTTACATCCCTGCTCCCCTTGTCATGGTTCAGCCCCCCCCCCAGTGCTTTGGATTCAGCCCCTTTGTCCTGGGCTGTCGGATGCGTCAGAGGCAGCACACTGAACCCTCTCTTCTGATTCCCTCTAGAGAACAACCACCACCTGAAGATCTTTCTCCCCAAGAAGCTGCTGGAGTGTCTTCCTCGCTGTCCGCTGCTGCCACCAGAGCGGCTTCGGTGGAATACAAATGAGGTTTTCCGGGGAGCCTTGGGGGGTAGGGCCTGGCAAGGTGGGTTGGAGGATGGCGGATGGGGGTCTTCCTAAGTGTAGAGCACTGCTCTAAGCTCTTTGGGGGCCACAGAGGAGGTGTAGAGACCTGCATCTTATAGGCGCTCACTCCTGGGCACATCCACCCCAGGGAAAAATAATAGCAAGCAGCAACAAAATATTTCTTACAAACCGAGCGCTGTGCTCAGCACCTGATCTCAGTTACCTCCCTTAGTCCTTTAACGGCCCTGCGGAGTGGACACTGTTGTTCTCCCCGTGCCATAGAGGAGGAAACAGGTCTACCTCGTGTAGTTGATTTAAGTCTGGAGCCTCTGCTTTTAACCAGCGCAGACACTGGCTTCTTCTGGAGGCATGGTCCTCGTGTTACACACCTTCCGTGTCCTCCCCCCTCCCCACACGCACACACAGTGCTACGTGTGTACTCAGTGCTTGATTATTTCATTAGATGAGAATTGTCAGCAAGAGGACGTATGCGTGTGTGATTGCTGTAAATGCGGGAAGGGCCAGGGCAGGGAGCGGGGCTTGGTGGAGATCTGGGAAGGGATGTGGTCTGTGGGATGACTAGGGTGTCCAGGCTCAGAGAAATGAGTGCACGGCGTTCAGGCCTGGGAGGGACACTAACATTCAGGAGCTCACGGCTCAGGGCACGTTCAGTGGAGAATCCATGGCTGGTCTGGCACGGACGGTAGGTGGAATATAGGTAAATGGCAGGAGCGGTTTTATCCCTGGTCTGAGAGAAGCTCGGAGTCAGGCTGAGGAATTCGGAATTCCTGGCAGTGTCAAGCCATTGAGGTTTTCTGAGTCAGGAAGTGGCAGAAATGGGATTTGGAAAGTGAAATCAGAGGCAGCATGAAGCACGGAGGGTGGAGAGTTTCGACTTGGCCCTGGCTGAGGAGGAGGGAAGGAGAGATCAGACCTGGGTCTGAGATGGAGCCTGGGACCCAGGAGGGCAGCGGTCCTTGCCGGGAGCCTCCAGTAGCCGCCGGAGCTCAGCGGAGCAGGAGGCCAGCCCCAGAGTCTACACGGGGACCCCCAGCTGAGTGGCCCTTGTCCTACAGGAGATCGCATCCTACTTGATCACCTTTGAGAAGCATGACGAGTGGCTGTCCTGTGCCCCAAAGACAAGGTGAGCGGTTCGTGAAGGCGGGCAGCGGCTGGGCTCCTGGATTCCCGCCGCAGAACTCAAGGCCAGCCCTCCCCTCGTCAGGCCTCAGAACGGCTCCATCATCCTCTACAACCGCAAGAAGGTGAAGTACCGGAAGGACGGGTACCTGTGGAAGAAGCGGAAGGATGGGAAGACCACACGAGAGGACCACATGAAGCTGAAGGTCCAGGGCATGGAGGTGAGGCGGGTGTCCGGCCCTCAGCCCCGGCCGTCCTCCTCCGTCCTCAGTGGGGCTCCGGCGCGCCCTTTCCCACGCTCCCGGCCACTCCCCTTCTCACTGCTGTGGCTCAGCCCACGCGCCGCCTCCCACGTCCCTCCGTGACCCAGCTCTCTAGGACTCAGGCCCCCCCCGAGGCCGCTCAGGCCTGTCCCCCTCAGGGGTCCAAGTCCTGGACCTCTGAGCACGGTTTCCCTCCCTCGGGTCACTGCTCCTCATCTCAGATGCCCTCGCCCTGCCCTCTCATCTCTAGGCAGTCCCTCCCGTGTGTCCCGTCTGCTCCGCCTTGTAAGGCCCCCCAGTGCCCTGGTGACGCGGGGTCCCGGGATGGGGGGTAGCTGGGGGTGGGCGAGGGCTGACGAGGAGCTGGGGGAAAGATTGGGATTCCTGCAAAGGGACCAAACAGAGGAGGAGTTGGGGAGCAGACTAGCCCTCCCCCCACCCCAGCCTGTCTCCTGGCAGTGTCTGTACGGCTGCTACGTTCACTCTTCCATCGTCCCCACATTCCATCGGCGCTGTTACTGGCTGCTGCAGGTAAGGGGCCGGGGCTCCCTGGCTCTTTGAGGGAGGTGGGGTCTGAGATGACCCACGGGGTTCTGAGTTGGAGGAAGGGCCTGGGAAGAGGGGGAGGGGTGGGGGATGGAGGGCGCCAGGCCTGGGAAGAGAGCGGGCTCCCCACGGTGCTCTGTGTGTGCCCCTGTGCTCTCAGAACCCTGACATCGTGCTTGTGCACTACCTGAACGTCCCAGCCCTGGAGGATTGTGGGAAGGGCTGCAGCCCCATCTTTTGTTCCGTCAGCAGCGACCGTCGCGAGTGGCTCAAGTGGTCCCGGGAGGAGCTGCTGGGGCAGCTGAAGCCCATGTGTAAGGCGCTCCCAGGGGGCGAGGAGACAGGCGCCTCCCGGGGGGGCGGGGGGAGGTCTGTACCCCCCGCGTGGGGTGAGCGGCTCCCTGCGAGCCAGAGGGTGCTTTCCTGAGGGGGCGCGGGGATTCTGGCATGTTCTGAGCTCTTGCCATTGCGGAGAAGGGGCCGAAGGAGGTTTGTGAGCTTTGAGGCTGCTGGCCGGGAGTCTCGGGGCCTGTCCTGTGAGATCCCCCAGCATCCCCCCACCCCAACGCTCTTCCAGTTCATGGCATCAAGTGGAGCTGTGGGAGCGGGACAGAGGAGTTCTCTGTGGAGCAGTTGGTGCAACAGATCCTGGACAGCCACCCGGCCAAGCCCGCGCCGCGAACCCACGCCTGCCTCTGCAGTGGGGGCCTCGGTGCGTGATCCCTGACCCCAGAGCTGTCTTCCGGCCAGCGCCCCGCGCTTCCTCGGGCCTCTCTGT